TTTGCTACCAGGGATCGAACTCAGGTCCTTGTGCTTGAGCAGCAAGTGGCAAAACCACTGAGCTAAATCCCTGGCCCTTAATTTTTACTTTTGAGGTGCTGGGTATCTAACATAGAGCCTTGAGCATGTGGGCAAGAACTCTCCCACTGAGCTGACCTCCAGCCCCACTTCTCTAATCTGTTGGGACTTGTTAATCCTTTTTACTTCAGTTAAGCTGTACCTAAGTTAACATACTCAGAACACTTTTTTTAAAAAGCACTCTCCCTCTTCTGCTTACTTTGACCCACAATTCTCTACAGAATGAGAGATTGATCGGGTGACTTGCTCTAAGAACTCCTTCCTCCCGCATGGGAAGGGTCTGTGTGTGAACTGCTGACCCTGTTACTGGCAGTGCCAGCTCCTTCGATGTGCCATTGACACAGAAAGGGAGATTCTTTTCTGAAGAAACTTGACCTTGACTATGAGTCCTGACCACGGGAAACTTCTGTCACTTAATGAGTTGTTAAGACCTAATCAGCCAAAGATTGCCTACCAGAAACCAGCCTAACAAAATCAGATCTACTACACAAGAGTGAAGAGGCAGGCAAATGTGCAAGGTGGGCTTCTACTGAGGAATTTTGAGGAGAGTCTAAGGGAGCAGGAATCAGTTTGGGGTTCATTGTTGTTTTGAGGTGTAATTAGGAAAAAAGGGAATGAACAGGGGTTGTGTGGGTCAAGCAGGTGAAGATGACTGACGAAATTGGTAATTGCATGCCACCAATTAAGTGAGAATAGCAAGGGTCTGAGGTAACACTGGTAAGAAGTCCATAGTCATCCAAAGTGGGGAGGGTTCCTTAAAGGATTTTATAACTGCTGTACAACCTTGAAAGAAGCAGTGTTTCCTGATAATTTTGCAGCCAGCTTTATCTGTGTCTGTCTTCCCAGCCTGACAAGTGGCAGGACTTCTTTTTTTTTTTTTTTTTTTTAGTTCGCATTGATTTTTTCATTCTTTTCAGTTTCAAACATTTTAACTCTTTCAATGTCTTGGATTCTAAACTCATGTGAACATTCACCAGAATACATTTTCCTACTGGCATTCACCAAGTTTAAGACTCTTGAGATCAACTTGATTTAACTTAACAAAAACTTCTAAAGCAAAAAGCAGGCAACTACTAGGTCTCAATTTAGGATATTTAGGTCTTTTCAAATACCCTGTCAAGCTGCCTTTTGCTGATGTTACTGCCCTCACGCATACTCTTTTCTAGCTTAGAGGGTATCATTACCCTTGTCCCACAGCTTGGCTCTTGGTTGGAAGGAGCATTGCCCTGGATTCAAGCAAAACAAGAACCTTAACTCAAACTCTAGGCAAAGTTCTTAGCCTGAAATGCATGAGTTCACTGTGATCCACTCAAGTGTGGGAAGGTGGGGCATGTGTGAAACTTTATATATAAATATATGTACATATGTACATAACTTTTATCACACGCTCTTAAGATCAACTTTTAGATTATTAGACTATTGTGGAATGGGCACTCTGCCACTCAAACAGATGGAGATGACTATAAGCAACCAAGAAATCATGGATGTGCATCAAATGTGGGTGCTTAGGGCATGGTACCCAGCTGGGCAGGTGGAGAACACCATTCACCCAAAGCTGCCAAGGGCTATTAGCCACTGGTGATTAAACTCTGGACTGCACTGACTTTTGGAAATTGCCATAAAATCCAGTCCTTCCTAGTCTCGGAACAGAAGCACAGTAGTTGGCTGAGTTTATTTACATAAATGCCTGAGTGCCTTAGTTGGCAGTGGCAGCAATGCTACTTGCCCTTTTCTCATCTGAGAGAAATATGTTTGATTAATAATCATATTTCAGTTCATCACAGGCCTATGAGATAGACTATAATTGTAGAAGAAGATATAATATAGACATATATCTTCTTTCCATCAAAATAGAAAGGCTCTTCAGTAAGATTTTCTGGTGCCATATTTACTTCCCCATCATGACACAAGTGTCTGACTGTATGGATTCAATCAATGCTTAGCATGAATGATAGAGTGAGATGAATGAAAAAACAAATTGAAAAATATACACACACTTCCGATTGTCATGTGCATTCACATCTCTGTCAACAATTCTCATTTTAGCACTTGTTGAGATTATTTGACACAAATGATTCCCTCTCACAGGGTATTTGAAGACAGCAAACTAATATACAATTGAGGTAGCAGGATTTTGGGTAGGAGTATGTTTTTCTTCAAAGTGACTCTTATCTGGATTATTTCCTTCTATTTGAACCAAGTTATAAAATCCTACTACATCAAATGCATTATGAAAATCAAAGAGAACTATTTCAAAAGTAATTGTGATCAGCCATCCATTCCAGCTATATGTGAATGAGGGAACTTATTAAACTGAAAGAGAATAAAACTTGCATATGATTAAATCAATCATTATCACTGGGTTTCTTTGGGATACAATGGTACAGGTCAGCAATTCTAAAACTTAGGTGTGCATCAGAATCACCTGGAAGGTTTGTTAGACTGCAGGTTGCCAGGTTCCGCCTCCAAAAGGTCTAATCCTGCAGATCTGGGGTGAGGCTGGAGGACAGGATTTCTCACAAGTTTCTATGAAACGCTGAGCTGTGGGTCTGGGAACCACACTTTGAGAACAACTCATCTATGTCGTTAAGGTGACAAAGTGTTGGCAATTAGTTCAATGATGACGAAACACATTTAAAAAGAGGTAACAGTACCAGGTCACATAAGGACTACAAACAAGCTACAAAGATGCTATACTGCAAGTGTATAGAAAGACCAAGAACTCTAGGCTGGCAGGATTTCCCTGGACTCCCAAGTTTGCACAGGGTTATAGCATCAGAGAGAGAAAAGGGGGCATCCTAGAATGGGGAAATAAACTAAGTTTGCTGCAGTAAAGACTAGAAAGGTAGGAAGGGACCCATTTGTGGAGGGCTTTCAATTCCATTTTATAAGGACTTCAGACTTCATACAGTAGCTAGTATTTCTTCCATTCACACACTATCTCCTGAGGTATGCAGCCACAACGATCTAGTGCCACACCAAAACTGCAAACAGTTCAAGCGTCCCAAAGTACTATTCAGCTGCTGTGAAGTAGTAAAGGTTTTAGTTTATTTCTGGTGTATGGGAACACATCAACTTAGACTGGGAGATGGATTGTTTGCACTATTCAATCAGTTTACTTTTCCCATATGGATGTGAAAACTGGCAGTTCTGGGAGGGCTCCTGAAGTACTAAGGAAGCTTGTTTGGGTGTGGTATAGAAAAGATGGCTGGAGCATCCCCCAGTGGGTCTGAAGTGGGTTGGGTAAGACCAAGCACTACTTTCCAGTCTTTAAGGTGCACTCTCGTAGGGATCACCTGGAAATCTTGTTGAAAAGCAGATACAGGTTCAGCAGGACTGGGATTATGCCTAACAGTTCCCAGAGGATGCTGATGTACAGACCGCACTTTCAATCGAGGTACTATGGGAAGGACACCCAGAACGCATCAGGGGAAGGCCCCGGGGGCCAAATCCCCCTGCGGGAGGGATACAGGCCATGCTCAAAGATAGGTCCCTGTCCTATTCAGCGAGGGTGTGGGGTCAGTGCGAAGAGGGGCCGGGCAGAGCCGGAAAGGAGGTGGCAGGGGAGGCCTGAGAAGCGGAGGTGCGCCAGGTGCGAGTGCTCGGCCGATGGCGGAGCGCGGCTGGGGTCGCGGCGAGATCTCTGGACTTTGGGCCCTCGGCGGCTCCCATCGCGGCCTGGACGCGAAGCGAGAAGGCTACTGCAGCCGCCATCCCTCCTGGCGCGGGCGCTTGGGTATGTGGACTCCCGCTCCGCCGGGCCCGGCGTTCCGGCTCCCGGAAGCGGAAGGCGAGCGCGGCGGGGCCTGGGCGGCGGCGGCGACGCCGGGGAGGAGGAGGAGGACGAGGGAAGAGCCTCTGGAGGTCGCCGGAGCGGCGGTGAGGCGAGCGCGCGGCTGGGTGAGTGAGGGGCCAGGGGAAGTGCCGCCCCCGCCGCCCGCGCCCCCGGGCCTCCCGGCCCCTTCGCACACCCGCCCCTCGGCTCTCGGACGGCGGGGATCCCGGGGCGCGGGGCGGGGCGCGGTGCCTCCTGCCCCCGGGCCTGGCTCGCTTGCACGTTTCTAGCCAGGACCGCAGTGCCGCGCGTGCCCCTGCCGCGGTAGGCGGGCGGTTTTCTGCGCTGGTCGACAGGGTTTGGGTAATGAAAACACCCGAGCCCCGAGTTTCTCGCCGGTGAACTGCATTTTCCCTATCCCCACCCTGCGGGGAGGGCAGCTCCTGCGTTCCCCGGTCTCGCCTGTGCGATGACAGCCTTTCATTCATTTCCATTCCGCTGGTGGGGAGCAGCAGAGGTGGGATTAGCGGGAGGGGAGAGAGTTCGCTCTTTTATTATCTGAGGGTGGTTTCCAGAAAATGGCTTATACATGGCAGCAGTTTGCATTTGGTACTATTCCCCAAGATGGGTTGTTGGATTTCAGCAGGAGAGACCATTTAAATTGTGGTTTTTCTCAGGCTGTATTTGGTCCAGCTTTTAAGATCTCTTGTGAGTCAGTGGAGGGTGTCTGTGTCTCCAGGGCTCAGAGGACCTGCCCAATTATTACTTCAAGAAAATATTGGAGTGAAGCAGTCCATAAAAGTACAAGAGGAAAAAAAAATCAAGGTCACTGTGGGCATGTCATAAACCACGGGGTAAAGTTACAATCTAAAATACAAACATAAGGATAATTAAGTGCAAGTTAAAAAGATCTGTCAAATGGGTCCTCCGCCTACTATGCTAGCATGTGCAACCTAAAAAAATTACCTACCTTGTGGTAAAAATAATAACATGGTACCATTTGATAACATACTCCTTAGTGTGTGTCATTCCTAGATTAAAAGGCTTTTGGTGCAGGATCTCAAGTTATTCCAACTCTTTAGACTTATTTTGAAGATAAAATTCAGAGAGTTTCTCGATTTTGCCTTAGATGTGCTGTCTCTTCGGTTTTTGAAGAAGAGATGAGGGAACAAAAAATCAAGTGGAAAGAAAGAACCAAATGAGATTTGGTGCTGTGGAAAGAAAAGCCAAATTCTAGTCCCATTACTGTCACTTAACAACTATGGGGTCAAGGGTAGGTCAGTGACCCAAGTTGTTTTTTTATCTATACCACTAGAGAGCCAGATTAAATTAAGGTGTGTATGTTTAAAACTTTAATATGTTTATTTGCAAATACATTTGTAAACAGTTTAGGACTCATGTTGTAGGTGTGTTTAAAACATTTACCTCAGGAAAAATGCTAGTAAAATTTTGGTGTAGCACCAGCATAGATGAACTCCAGAATTCACTTTGGATGTGAAGCAATAGAATTACATTAGATTTCTTCAAACTGTTGAGGTTTCTGTTAAACTATACTTTGGAAGTTATAATAAGGATAAATGAATTACAGCATATTTTAAACAAGATGATGAGATTTATGTCACATTACTTATCTGTGAGGTGCTTTGTATAACAGAAGAAATTTAAGCGCTTTAAATGATTCACATAATCATCAGCCTAACAGGTAGGTCCTAAGACAGGAAATAATCAGTGAATCATAAAATTTTACTTATTTGCCCAGTGTCCAGTTTAAATCAGTGATTTAATCCATGGAATATGATTCAGAATCTGTGGAAAAAGCATATGAATAAAATACTGTCATGGGTTACTGAAGAAACAGATATCTAGAAATGTCTCTGGAGCCTTTTTTGGGGTTTTTTTGTGGGATTATAACTAAGAGTCAACAAAAACTTCAGCATATTAGCATCAGTTCTACCAGGCATAATGAGAAAAGCAAAGGTAAAGCTTTTTATTGCCAGGAGATTGTACCTTAGGTTTTAAAAATTTCTTTATTATTATTTTTTTAATGTAGACATTTTATTACTCTGCAGAATACTAGGACTGACATTCAGCTTTTCAAATGTTCTAGAAAAGAAAGCTTAGCATCTAGTAGAAGCATCAGTACATAATGCCTCTTACTGAAGTTAGTGGTGTTTGCCTGTAGTGGGGAGGGCTGTCTAGCAGGAGACCTCTTTTCCCTTACTCTTCCTTGCAGGGTGATCAGCCTTCCTCGCCTCATAGGCTCTTGGATGTTTTCTCTCTGCACTATCTGTTGCCCCTTTCACAAAATGGCAAGTTAGGAAAAAGTTAGTATCTTATAGTTCACTGTTTACTTTTCTTTCAGTTCTAATTTAAAATGCTCAGGTGTGATCTCAACCAGACTTCTAGTTTTAAACCTTTGTGTGTGTGTGTGTGTGTGTGTGTGTGTGTATGTATGTGTCTTCCACACTGAAGATTGAACCCAGAGCCTTGCATTCTAGGCAAGCACTCTACCACTGAGCTGTATCCCTTTTGCTTTTATTTTGTGACTGGCTCTTGCTGAGTTGTTCAGGCTGCCTCAAACTTACCATCCTGCTTCAGCCTTCTGATTAGCTGGGATTACAGGCCCACATCACTAGTCTGACTTAATCATTGTATTTTAGATCAAAGCGCTCCTTTTTTTTTGTCCTGAAGAGATCCCAGGGCAATGTGTAGCAATACAACTTCCCCACATGTTTCTAGTACAGTGTATCTGAAGTTTTTCTCCCTTTGTTAACTAGTTCACAGACTTTAGTGTTGCAGATGGGAGATAGCTGGGGTATTGAGTCACTACTTTTAAGGACCCCTCCCCCTTTTTGGTACTGGGGATTGAACTCAGGACCTTGTGCTTGCAAGCCAGGTGCCATGCCACTGAGCTAAATCCCTGGCCCTGAATCACTACTTTGATGATAACCCAGGAATACTTTTCATTTTTGAGTTTCTAAAACTAGAAGTGAAACTTAAGTTTCCTTTCCTCTTCCTCTTCACCCTCCCTACTTCCCTTTATAGTTACCATTTTGAAGATGCTACTTCTTTGCCAGGCAACTTCTCACTGTCAGTTTCCAACCCCTAAATGGAGATTTTTATCCTTTGGAAGGGGAATAAGAGGCTGTGTTACAATGGAAATGTGGGCCTTTATTTATAACATATGTATAATGTTTTCTACTATTGATAATAAATTGAATTTCTATGTGATATTTTAAAACTTGAATTCCCTCACTGGCTAAGTATAGGCAGCTAGAGCCTGATGTTTTAGGTAAACTCGTGATAAGCCAATTTTCAGAGTAGAATATAATCAGATGACAAACACTTTTATAAGTATGTTTAAAGGTACATCTATAACTTTGTTTTCTACATTAATTTTTGGCCATAATAATGTTATAAATTTCATATATTCCCATGTAATATAGTATCCATAGTCTCTTGGCCGCAGGGGCGAAATCTTTTTTTGTGTGTGTATTTGAAAACTTATCAAATTGTTGATTGTATTCTTTCAGACATAGCAGTGTTAAAGATGATTAATGGCATTTTATAGTTCTAAAACTTTGGGATATTGTTATCCACAATTTTTTGGAGTTTTTTTTTTGAGACAGGGCCTCACTGGGTATGTAGTTCAGGCTGGCTTTGAACTCTTGGTGATCCTTCTGCCTCAGCCCCCTGAGTGCTGGGATTATAGGTATGCACTAGGTGTGCCGTGCTATTTTTTGGAGTTTTGAACCTAGCATTACTTTTGTATACCACATAGTGAGATTTCATTCTACGGTAATGGTGGCAATGTTGATCTAGCTTGAAATACTGTTTTTCAGATGCCATGTCTGCAGTGTAGCTCTAATAACTGTAAATGTAAAGTGAGATTTTTCTTGATTTTAACCCAGTGAGTGACTGGGGTTTGAGTCATTGGTGATTGGCTTGTGGTGTTACCTAATGTTACTGACAGAAACTACTGTCCTCAGGAAGCCAAGCTGGAGTCATTACCTTAGTAGCATTACTGACTTTGGCCATATTTCAGAACATTTTGTTGTGCTACATTTAATTCTATTTGAATTTTTTTTTCCTGGGAAAATGTAATTCATTCATTTACCTTTGGGGTAGTAGGTCCTTAACTTTGTCATAAAGTATTTTCTCCTTAAGAAGCAAGGTGCAGTCAAAGAGACCAATTTAAATTAGGTTAAAACCTTAGAGTAGAAAGAAGTGACATTTGACAATCTGATAATCTTGGATGATAAAAAAATTTGACCCTGGGAGAAAATGTAGTGTTTTTTTGGTTTATTTTTTGTTTCCCTAAGTTTATAAGGGGGAGTAGAAATGTAATGATAATTATTTTGATGTAATTTTTACATCCTCAGTAATAAGAGTTTGCTGTTGTGGTAGTAAAGCAGTATGCTTAACAAATTAATAACTTATTTTTATTTCCTATCCTGAAGAATGCTACCGCCTTTCACTTAGTCCCTAAGCCAGAAAGTTGGAAACCACTCTTTGCTCTACTTTTTGTTTCCAGTTGATCATTAGGTAGATCCTATAAGTTTTATTTATTTAGTTCTCTTGGATCTGTCCCTTTTCATTATTTCTGTCCCAATTGTCACTTCCTAACACACACACACACACACACACACACATACACACACACACACACACACATACATACACCCTCTTAAATGCGGATTGTGGGGTGCTTACTGTGTGCCCTCCTTATTTCTCACCTGCATGACACTCAGCCTGGATTGCTGCGTGTGGTTGATCTCGGTGCTTTAATCCTTCTACTCCAAACCAGCCTTCAGATTGTTGCTATACTTCTCCACATGCAAATTTGATCCTGAAATTTACTCCCTAAAAATCCTTCAGTGGTCTTCCACTGTGTTCAGGGTGAAGTCCAAACTCATTGGCTTGATTTCAGTGTTTTTCAGTCTAAGGATTGCTCTCTGCCTGCACATCACAAACTCAGTAAGCTGTGACTAGCGTTACATATTTTTACTAATGTAAAATAGAATAATAATATCATAGTATATTATATTTAGTAAGGGTAAAACTTTTTCAATTATTCCTCTATTTATGTGTGTACCAATAATATTACAAGATTTACTTTTTAGAGTTGATTGTGGCCAAGAATTTGGCGTACATTGCCCCTTTTGTCCCTGTGCAGTGATTCTAGTCATTGCTACTCACATAGATTTTCTTTGTCTGCTTTTACACTTTTGCTTATTTTTCTTTTCGTCAAAAGAACCTCTATTTTTAATCTAGCTAATTCACAGGCTTCCTTGTCTCTGGGAGTCTTTTTCTGATGACATTTTTAACATAAGAAATAAGGTGGTTGTAATACAGTCAAGTATGCAGTAATCTGGAAAAAATTCGTGAACTAATACCCTTACTCTGAAGTGCATTGACCCCTTGCTTTCTGTCTTCAAATGTCTTACGTAGTATTGATCTTGTCTGTTTTACTAGTCTATTTTTCTTAAGGACAGTGTCTTCTTTCTCATCTATACACTGTGCCAAAGAATAGTATATATTAACAAATGTTGGGTGGATTAATGTAGTAGTGAATTGGTATATTTTATGTAAAACTCTTTACAGTGTTATTATTTTTTAAGTTTGTACTATAGAAATTAACTTTTGTGGTTGACTCTTAATGATATAATTATAGGAGGATAGCTGTTTTTCTTAGAACATTTTAAAGTGAGACCTCCCTTTGGGGAATTGGTACATACATATCATTTTTTGATCATTTTCTATATCTTTACTCTTCCTTCCTCCCCTCCCCTTCCTACTTTTCCTGATCTGTTTCCCCATCTTCAAAAAAGACTGTCACTGTGTTTCTTACCATCTCTCCTTTATTTTGATTTTTAATTTATTTATATTTTGTATTTCTCACATAAAAGGAACCATGGAATATTTAACTTTCTGTGTCTGACTTATTTCACTTAACATAGTCTCAGGATCCGTCGATTTTCCTGCAAATGACTTGAATTCATTCTTCTTTATGGTTGAATAAAATTCCATTGTGCGTGTATATACTACATTTTCTTTATCCCTTCATCTGTCGATGGGCATCTAGGCAAACTTCTATTTCAAACTTTATTCTCTATCAGTTGTAACTAGGTACTTCTAGCCTCGCATCTTGATAGACATTACCGTACATGTGTCACATTAGTGATGTCAGAATCTATTGTTATTTTGTGATTTGTGGTCAAGGACTTCTATGTGCCCAGATGCTAGATGCATAATGTTTGATTTTATGAGAATTGGATGATTTCGAAAGAGAGAACTTTCATGTATAATGGTAATCAAACACAAATTCTGAGGGAATAGATAGGATACCAAACATAGACTCAAGTGTTAAATTATCTTTTCTTATTTCTGAATTTAAAATTTTTGTAATTGACATTTTCACAGTTAGAATGTTTAGCTGTTTACGATTTTTGTCTTTGTGAGAAATTATTATTTGTTAAACCATTAATAGGTTCTCATGGAGAACTGTTATTGAAGAGAGGTCCTTTGGTGGGATGTAATTTAAAAAAGAATGAATCAAGATAAAACTTCTAAATGCAAGAACCAGAAAAATCACAGCACATCTCGGTGAACTTGCAATTGGTAAGTTTGTATTTGATTTTACATGGAACTAGATTTATAATTTATGTGCCTTAGTATCCTTGGAGTCTAATGTTTAGATACTATTAATTGTTAATTAGTAAATGAATTGATTTATATTTTTCATACTAGTTTTAACTAAACATTTTTTCAGTAAGACTTTTTTTAAGGGGAAAATAATATGTAAGTAATATAAGTTTCAGAAATATCTTTCTAAATTGTAAAGTTTATATGGCTTTATAAGAAATCTTTCTCCATTGCATTTTAACAACTAATTTTAGAAACATTTAATATACAGTAGCAAGGAGAGGCTCAAATTATACATTTTGTTTGTAAGGTTATCAGTGTCCCTTAAGCTATTTTTGCTTTTCAGTTGGTTGAAAATGATTTAGGATTATACATATTTATTGATACACTTAGAAAAACACATAAATATATTAATAAAATATGAGTCCTCACTATTTTCCTGCGTTGTTCCAGGATGAACACTGTTAGCAATTTGGTTGGTATGTTTTCTTCCAGCGGTTTTTTCTGTGCATATGCAGAAATTACTTATATATTACTTTTTCTAACAAAAAATGTTATACAAGCCATTTTATACCTCGCTTCCCCCAACATTTAATTTTGAAATTTGAAGTTTCAAACAGAAACATAGAAATCAGTTTTATAGTGTAATATCTGATTACCCATCACTTAGATTTCATAACTAATGTTTTACTGATCTTCATGACATCCTTATCTTTCTCTCTGACAATCCATCAGTCAACTTTATTATTTTTTTTGCTTCTATTTCAGAGTGAATTGCAGACATCAGTACATTCCTTGCAAATCACACATGTGCACACACACACACCTACTTCAGTATACGTCTCATTAACAGGAGTTCAATATTGTCTTGCAGTTTTTTAGGTTAATTTACATACCACGAAGTGTACCAATCTTTTTTTTTTTTTTTTTTTGGTACCGGGGATCGAACTCGGGTCTTTGTGCTTGCACAGCAGGCGGCGAAACCACTGAGCTAAATCCCTGGCCCAAGTGTACCAATCTTGATTGTATACTTGTATAACTCAGCTCCATATCAAGATGTAGGTCTTTATTAGCACCACAGAAAGTTCCCTCATTGTGCCTTCTGAGTCTGTCTCTGTCCCTCCCCCCACTGAATACCACTAAGATTCCTACCCCTAGCCATAGATTTTGCCTATGTGACTTGTTTTATTTACTCAGTAGTATATTATAGGCTAATCATAGGCAGATCCACCTCCTTTTTTCCCCTTTTTCTTCTTTTTTTTCTTCCTAAATTGCAGTAGCTTGGAAATAGTCTGTACTATTGATGTACCAGGACTTAATCATTGCCCTCTTCTACATGGACATTAAGTTATGCCATATTTTTATGATTACAAAAAATGCAGTATCCTTGTACATCCTTGTATGTGTATACATTTGAACACTCATGAGTACTTGTGTAGGTATTACTAGAAGTAAATTTCTGTGTAAAAAGTTTTTACCTTCCCCAAGCGGTTCTATTAGTTTACATACACATTGGTAATGTATGCGAGTATTCTTTTCCCTCTGCCCTCTCATCATCCTTCTCTTCCAAGTTTTTCAATATAGTAGATGCAAAATATACCTAGTTATTTCACATTTTCCTAATCAGTAATGATTAGCCATTGGATTTTTTTTCTATTTGTGAATTGCTTCTGTATATATCTAATTTTATATGCCTCTTACAAGTCATGTGTTCTGTTTTTTTCCAAGGATACTTTTTCTTTTAATTTTGTTTCTGGTATGTTCTGGGCTTACAAATTTTAAATTTTATGTGGTGAAATGTGGCTTTAGGGCTCTTGGTTGTCGAGGGCATCCTCATTCCAAGTTTTTAGAATCAACTGCTATTTTTTTCTAATAGTTTTGCTTCTTATTGAAATTTAGAAGAGGAAGAAATACCTGTGAATTGAGGCCTCAGGAAGAATTTCATTCAGAGAGTGAGCTTCAAATTGGCTGTGAATTATGAGTTGAATTTAAATAGAGTAAGGAGAGTGATAGGCATATTTCAGATAGGAGGAATGAATGATAGAATATATATTTCCATATTCATGGACAGTAATAAAACTTGGTTGAGGTGGAGTATCATACAAGTTTAGAAATACATATTTGGCTAGATGTCTTGCTAGTTATTTTGTGTAATCTTTTGATGTTCTAAGATCTGTATTCTGATGTTACAGTTTTCTGTCATATAGTAGTTTTCTGTTATTTTTATTTCATAGTGACTTAAGTATTCTTCCTGTAGAAAATAATGTGGTAAGATATAGTTCCTTGAGGAAAAAAGGAAAGGTGGTATACCATCAGAATACTTTGGTCATCATAAATATTTACTCAGTTCAGTTTATTAGATTTCAATTATAATTTCTTTAAAAATAGTTTGTGCTGTAGTAATTTACATAATTATAAAGTTAGTCACTGCACTCAAGTGTAGTTATCAGATGGCAATCTTAAAAAATGTTGAAGTACCAGTACATCCACTAGTGACATCGAAGTTTGACTTATGGCACACCACTTAATATATAAATGAATGTTTTGGAATCTGTAGCTGATGGAAGTATTTTAAAAGTGCCATCCTTCAGATGAAGCAGCAGCATTGTGCTCGGTGTGGTTGCTGCTCAGGATGTGTAATAATTTCTGCCCAACCGGCAGCCTCACCTGAGCCTGTAGACAGCAGCTGAGTGGAGGGCGCCTGGCATCCGGGCCAGTTCATACTTGTGGTTGTGATCTGCTTTGGAGCTCGTGGAAGACCCTGCTTTATTTTCTACAGCCCTATTGCAAAGATTATGTGGCACTAAGTTTTACTGATCAGGTATTTATTTTAAATATTTAAAATCTTACTTGTTTGTTGTTTTTATTTATTTATTTTTATCTTGTGGTGACTTTTCCTTGAGTATGCCTGTTCTTTTAGAGTTTATCATGACTCTGTTTATATTCAGGAAAACTGGGCACATTTTTAAATGATATTTTTTACTATGTAATATTTCCTATTGCAAGAGTTCTTAGTGATGATAGAAATGTTAATTTTTGGTAAAGGAATAAAAATAGAGTTCAAAAACTAAGTATTTGATAGTTATTCCACTTGTTTTGTTGGCTTATCTGCTCTTGTGTTTCTAATGATAAAAGTTACTCTATTCTGTGTAATTATTGGAATTCATACTTTTTTTTTTTTTTTTTTAGCACTGAATAGAACCAAAACATTAAAAGAAAGGTACATGGGCCGGGGATTTAGCTTAGTGGCATCACGCTTGCCTTGAAAGAACAAGGTCCTGAGTTTGATCCCCGGTACCAAAAAAAAGAAAGGTACATGAAGTTAATAATAGTAAACGTGTTAAAAGAGTTCTCTTCTAACATTTCTTTTACCATTTGATAATTGGCAAGGCTGTAAAAAAATTAACATTCTTTGGAATGTTTCTTTTTAGCTGTATAGATAGGTTACCTTTTGTATCTGAGCTACTTTAGTTTTAAAAACAATGATACCTAAATTACATAGTATGCTTTATCCTCTCTGACTTTCCTCACTTTCATGATACTGATCTGTCTTTTAATTTGCTAATTGCAAGGTAATGAAGTTTGACTTTTACTTTTGAAAGGTCTGGGTACTGTTCCTATTTTAAATTCCTGATACATAGGTACTGATTTGGACCATATCTGATTTAAACCATTGGATGATATTGCATTTGAGTTTTTTTCCTCTTCCTTTTTCCTCTCCTCTTTCTCTCTTCTCCTTTATCTTCCTCTTCTTCTCCTCTCTTCTCCTCCTTCTTCTATTGCTCCCTTTTTGCTGTATCTGGAAATGAGAGGAGGGGTACTTCTTTAAAAATGACATTAGTGTTCCTTTATCTTTCTTTGTTTTGGTAACTTTATGGCTTTGGTGAGCATTGGCAAGGCCTTTAAGGGATGGTACCATGAGGCTCTTCAATTGAAGATAAATTATTCTTAGAATGTTCTAGCGTCTAAGTTGGAAATCTAGGAGTCAGTCTTTGCTTTCCTGTGTAAGTTGTAGTATAGAATCAATTAGTAAGACTTACTGGTTTGATTCTATTTCTGTTGGTCCCTTCTCTAAAACTTATTTGGGTTTTTGTGTTTTCTTAAACTGTCTTTATTCTCTACCCCAGAGCTCCAGTAACTTACTGAAAATACAAATCTTCTCATGTTAACCTCTTGTTTTGATAGCTTTCCTGTGCATAAGAATGAATTCAGCATTCACATGGCATCTTTGCCTACATGATATATATATAGTCCCTTATTTCTCCCTGTCACTAGCCACAGAAAGGTTTATGATTTGTGATGACACTTTGTATATACCTAGTTTCCATCTTCTGTGCCCTTATCAACAACTTGTCCACAAATCTGGAACTTAGCATATCCTACTAAAGCTTTTTTAAATGACTTTTCTCTATTAGATTGTTAGTTCCTTTAGGTGAAGATGGTGTCATATTCACATTTGTATTTGTAATATCTAGCAAGTGACATATATAGCAGAGGCTGTGAACTAAGTTCAACTCAGTGCTGTAACATTGACATCTCAGTGAAGTTCCTTAGTTAGTGGCTCCTAAACAACAGCTGTATCAGCACCTGTAGCGCGGTTTAAGGGGTTTTATTGGTTTGGGGGCATTATGAAGAATTCAGTAGATCTGGAATGGTGTCTGTGACTGTGTATTTTTAAAAAGCTCCTTACTTGATTTTGATTTGCTTGCAGCTGTGAGAATCATTGTCTTAATTTATTATTATACCTTATTTTTTATGTAAAAGATGCTCCCCAGACCATATAAATATTGTTCAAGTTTTTTTAAGTTGTATCTACTGTACTTTTCAAGTCATTTTGTCCATATCACATGTATAGAAGTATCTTAACTTTTTCGTTGTCTCATTTGGAGGTCTGTTTGTGAATTGTTTTTGCTCAACTGAAAAAGACCCATTTAAACAAGAGTCTTCTTGAGTTGATAGTAATGAGATTAGTTGGGCTTCATTCCACTAATTTTAATATTTTTAGTCATTTTTAACTTTTACTTTTCAAAATGGTCTTTGAAATATTTTATTGTGGTTTAAAATTAAACTAAAGCATACAAGTGTGAAGTGTACAGCTTGGTGAGTGTTTGGTTGTGCAGATACCCCCACAAAGTACGATCCAGCTTGAGATACAGAGCATTGTTAGCCCCTCCTGATTTGTCAGTACCTTCTCAGTCAGTACCTACTTCTTCCACTCCAAGATAACCGTGATTTTGAGTTGCGTGACCATAAGTTAGCCTTATGGTTAAAGCCACTAAAATTTTTTTCACAAGTGTTTTGATGGATATGTATACTCATGTCCTTTGAGTTTACAGATGAGATTGCTGAGTTAAGGACAAATGTGTTTTTTTTTTTTTTTGGTACTATGGATCAAACTTGGGACCTTCTGCTTTCGAGGCAGGCGGCCGAACTACTGAGCTAAATCCCCACCCCAGGACAAATGTGTTTTAACTTTAGAGATAATGCCAGTTTGTACCTTTAATATCAATTTATGATGAAAGATTAAAATTTATCTATTTAAAGCTTTGGGTGAAATTTGAGTATTCTGAAGTTTTTGTTTTCCGGTGTTCATGGTCAAAAGAATAGATACAAAGATCAGTGTCGTTTTAGTATATGTGCTGCCGAAGCAAGCACAAGATCAGTGTTGTTTTATACAGTTTTTAGTCAAATAGATTTTTCTGTTAGTAATTTTTTTCTTTTTTCTTCCCCAGGGTTGTCTTTTCTGGTGCGTTTGCCAGGCAGTCATAGGACTGTACAATGGGCCTCCGGATTCACTTTGTTGTTGACCCACACGGCTGGTGCTGCATGGGTTTGATTGTCTTTGTCTGGTTATACAATATTATTTTAATTCCCAAGATTGTTCTCTTTCCGCACTATGAAGAAGGGCATATTCCAGGCATACTAATAATAAGTAAGTTTCTAGATCTCTGTATAGTTAAAGATTTTTCTCATTGTGAATGTTTTTCAAATGTAATGCACCTTCTGTGTAACCTTCCGTTTAGTGTACTTATTATTTTAGTAGTGATATTAATATTGTTATTTCCTAAACTATAGAAGTTTAAAAAATAACCTTTTAAAGATTATTTGCAGAGTTAGATAAAAGTGCTCTTTCCATAGTCTTCTAACTGCAATATATATAAAGACCGTTTTGCTGAAGAAAAACTGAGACAGTGTCAACAATTTGTGTGTATAATTTTAATGTTTCCTTTTTGCATTTAATTGCAAATTTGAAAGTTGTGAGAATGGAGATGGTATACATTGCTAGAAAATGTGATTTCATGATACGAAAATCATTGATTATGAAAACACTTCAAACTTCTGGATAATTATTTTCTGTTATATTCCATTGGCGATGACTTGCTTATGATTTAAAAAATCACATCCAAGTGATACACGGATGTGGCATTTACACTTTTTTACATACTTTACCTCATTTTGGTCTCACAAGAACTATGGGAAATATTACCTTTGTTTTAAAAATGATAAAACTGGTCAATCTATGCAGTCAGTTCTGAAGTGAGCACTCAAACTGTTCTTTTACAATGTTTTGTTTTTCATTTGAGTGAATAAAATGCCTGTCCTTTTAATTTTAAATATGAAATTATGGTGACTGAATCTATTTTTTCCTACTGTTATTTTTTGCTTATTTTAGAATTCGAAAGTTTTTATTTTTTTATTCTAGAAATTCTTAAACTACATCAAAAGGCAAGTAAATATCACTAATTCTGAGTGATTTTGAAGATAGAGTTAATGAAAAGGTTTAAGTGCAGAATATTTTTTAAATACTATTTTAATCCTTTCAAATGTAAGTACATGTAATTAAAAGAGAACCCATTCATTTGTAGCAAGCTTATCAGTTATTAAAACAATAAATGTAATAGGTATAAAATAATATTCGTAATTGGTACATTTAATAGTTTTCTTTCTTTCTTTCTTTCTTTCTTTCTTTCTTTCTTTCTTTCTTTCTTTCCTCCTTCCTTCCTTCCTTCCATCCTTCCTTCCATTTTGGGGGTTTTTTTGGTATCAGGGATTGAACTCGGGAACTTGCACTTGTGAGGCAGGCGGCGGCACCACTGAGCTAAATTCCCAGCCCTTTTTTTTGGTTTTTTGAGACAGGGTCTCACTATGTACTTCAGGCTGTCCTTGAACTCACTATGGATTTTAGGCTGGCATCGAATTCATGGTTATCCTCCTGCCTCAGCCTCCCAAGTGCTAGGATTACAGGCATGCTCCACCATGCCTGGCTTAATAGTTTTCTTGATAGTATTATTTGGTGAATGAAATGAATTAGTCATTCAGTTTTTTGAAAATTATTTATTCTGATGGTGTTATATAAAATATACTTTTTAAAGTAACTATGCTTGTTGATAAAATGCTTTAAAAGAAGTAATTAATGAATTTATTTATTTTGAAGTATTCTACAGCATTGCCATATTTTGTCTGGTTGCCTTAGTGAGGGCCTCAATAACTGACCCAGGAAGACTCCCCGAGAACCCTAAGATTCCACATGGAGGTATGGTCCTCTTCAAATTTATGAGTGTTGCTGATGCCAGAATTACCATCTTTGTTAATATATTTTATTACCTTTAATATATGTTATATGTCATCTAACACCATTGCTTTTTAACACTACTTTTAAATTTGTTCACATATTTCTTTCCAGATTTCTCTATTAACATTGCACACTGGCCCCTCACACCTCTCTCACTGCCTGCTGTCCTTAGTGGTTTACGTTTGTTTCCCTCTAACCACTCCACATTTGTGTATCTAAGCTATGTGAGGCTATGGACTTTTGTTTCATTTTCTTTTGTTTGTTCAGTGCTGTAACCCTAGTGCCCAGCAGTCTCTGCCTCTTAGATGTGCAACAGATATTTTTGAATGGAATATAATTATGTGAGATATTTTTCATTCTTTTTCTGGGGGGCAGTCTTGGGTATTGAACCCAGGGTGCTCTATTACTGAGCTCTATGTCTAGCCCTTTTTAAAATTTTATTTTGAGACAGGATATTCCTAAATTGAGGCTGCCCTTTAACTTAATCCTCTTGCCTCAACTGCCCAGGTAGCTGAGATTAGTCATGTGCCATGAGGCCCGGCTGAGAAATTCTATTTTTCTTTCCAGAAGGAATTTTCTTGTTGATGCCATTAACCTCATGATATTGCAAGTATATTTCTTGGAGTAAATATTTATAGTATTATGGACACTATTACCTGTAATTCTCCAGATTCTAACAATCCAGTGAAAACTCTGAAAACCTTTTATGCTAGTGTTATTTAAAGGTTACTTGATTATCCTAACCATGAATGCCTAACCATTCAAACCACAAAAATGAATGAAAATGTATTGTTTTATTATGTACCAGATATTGCACAAATCTATTTATCCTTTCCTGAGTCTCATATTTTGATTATTTGCTCTATAAGCATTGAAAACTCTGCATTTTGAGTAAGAAATTTATATATGTATTTGCAGTATGTGATAGAACCAGTGCTTTTTATAGTAACTTAGTGGCTTCCAAACTTAGTGTACATTAGAATTACCTGGGAAGCATCTTAAAAATTTCAGTGTCTAATCACTTCTCGGCCTTTTGGCTAGGATCAAGTGTAAATTTCAGTGTCTAAATTATACCCCATGTTAATTTAATGAGAATATCTGAATATAGACACAGGCATTAGTTGTTTTGAAAGATCCTAAATAATTCCAGTGTACAGCAAAGTTTGGAAACCAATACAGTAATTCCTTATGTAATGAGATTAAATGCCAAATCACTTACAGAACCTCCTGTACGTCCTGATTTTATGTTTTTGACACCTATCATTTTGGAGCTTAGCATATTTAGAGATCAAATAGGATTACACTTATGTTTATATAGCTATAGAAATTTCTGAACACCATTAAATATTTAGTTTTTAGTAACTTACACGAGTTAGTGGTTACTACATAGTTAGTATGTGTTTTGCGGTGGGGACAGAGAGGAGGATGGCACTCAGAAATCTTATAGAATCCCTTTTCCCAACTGGCATAGCCAAAACCACCCCAGCATATTGCATAAATGTGTTATTTACTTCAATACTAAAACCCAGTAGCCCAGAACAAAGAAGCATTTTTTAAAACTTTGGACCCATTTCTGATGAACTCAAATGGCTGTAGGTTCCGGGTGCAGCAGTCAGTAAAAGGGGCCAGGTTTTCTTATTGAAAACACATACCTGTCTCTAAAGGGGGGGAGCCAGAACTCTACCCCTGTGAAATTGTCATGCACTTAGATGGTTAGATCTTAAAATTCAGAGGGAGAAAAAGGTGTTATTGGCAGCTTTTTGTTACTGCTGTGAAATACCTGAGGCAGGCTAACTTTATAAAGAAAATGTCTATTTAGGTCCCAAGTTCGGTTACTGAAAGTCCGAATGACATGGTATATGCTCTGGCAAAGCTTTAGTCCAAGTCCCAGTAGAATGCTCATTCCATCTAGGTCTGACCGGCTGGTTGCATCCTCTTTAGAGGCCTTACCTGAGTTGCCCACAAGATTCTGCTTACAACATTCTAGGTATTTTCTAGCTTGTTCATCCAAACTTTTCCAACCTCTGCCAGAAACCTACTTCCAAAGCCAGTCCACATTTTCAGGTACAGTTATTGTTGTAGTCAGGGTCTTGGCAAGGGAATACATTAAATACAGGACACATAATTTATAGAATTATTTTATGATAATTATCCAAAAAGTCAAATTCAAAGGAGTACAAGAGATTAAACGCAGACTAGAGGCCCAAAGAATCCAACTGAGGGCCTGGGTCCCAGAAATGTCCTACACAAGTCCAGCTAAAGGCTTAGAATCCAAGGCAATGTCCTCCATGAGTCCAGCCAGTGGCCTAGAGCCCACAGCAATGTCTCACGCTTTTGCGTATTGAGAATCTACACCCAGAAGCCCCAAAGGCCAGTGGTGGAAGCCAGAAAACCTACACTGGTGAGATGAAGGATTTGTGCCACCAGGCTGAGGGATCCACATTGGAGCCAGGAAGTGATGCTGACACTGAAGATCAGAGCTCCCCTTACAAAAACAGCAGCCATTCCCAGTGACAGTGAGGCCCCGGGCTCCTTCTTCAACTAGAGCAGCCAAGTTTGCATTAGGAAAACCATCCGCAGCAAGCTTCTCCTAGAAAATCAACAGCCCCCATCTTCCCCTCCATTTCTCTTTTTATGGCTATTGGTAACAGTCGTCAGGTGGATCCTCCATGGCCAGACCACGCTGATTCAGTTCATATGGGCGTTAACAGTTGACTCTTAGTCAATCCACCGTAGTTACAGTAATGACTTTACTGTACTTCTGGAGTCCAGCTTTCTGTGTTCTGTGTTACAGTAGTAAAATACCTGAGGTAGGCTGTTGATGAAGGAACAAGTTTCACTTAATTCATAGTTCTGGAGGCTCAAGAATGATGGTGCATGAGGGCGATTTTGGCTGTGTCACGTAATAGTGGATGGCAATGAGAAATTACATTGCCACACAGGAAGCTAGAGAGAGACCGGGGCAGGAGGAGGGGAGACAGCATGATCTCCTGAGACGTCACTCTAGGAAGATAGTATTCCCTTCCAAGGACAGTGTGCCAGTGACCAAGACCTTCCTACCAGGTCCTACCTCTTAAAGATGCCATCAGCTTCCACATCGCCACAAGAAGGACCAAGCTCCCAACACATGGACCCTTGGGATAAATATCGTCCAAACCATTGCAACAGGGAATCCCAATTTTTACGAGAAATTCTGTTATTAAAAAAAAATGTCTAGATTTAATCTTTAGCACCACACATACTTACAAAAGTCAACAACTAATTCACAGTTTATAAAACAGGAGTACGAAATAAATATTTGCAGGCCTAATTGGATGCATGACACCACTGTGTTATCTTTAGATTATGGACTCTGCTATTGGAGAACACCATGGAGTCTTGCTGACTTTTTGGATGTCTGTATTTTATTTGGTCTCAGTTGGCTTGTTTCTCTTCCTTGAGTCCAAGAAACTTCCCTGTTACTTAGTTGGAAAAAATACATTCATTTATTATATTTTGATGTTTCCAAAGTCTTTAGATGTCTCATATCACATGACCCTCCTGGTAATTGAGGAAGGTAGGCTGGGTAGTCAGTAGCATGGAAGGTACATGCTAAAGTACACAGCTGCAGTATTACAGAGCTGGCGTGATGCCCGGAGCCTTGACTCTGTGGTTTTACCTTAGGCCTACTGGTGTATAGAGATTAATAATTTTAGCTCTTTTGCTATGATTTTGGGGAAAATTGAAATCATCACATTTTTTGGTGTTGGTTACCTGATTCTTTTATAATATAGTTTTTTTTTTTTTTTTTTTTGGTACCGGAGATCGAACTCGGGTCCTTGCGCTTGCGCAGCAGGCAGCGAAACCACTGAGCTAAATCCCCGGCTATAATATAGTTTTAATTTAGTAAAAACAATACAAAATTCTAACAGTTAAAAATAACATAGTATGACTAAAAAGTTGAAGCTATATAATGGTGACATTTATTCAGGACTATTTGAAGGTTGAGCAATTTTATATAATTGAGTTCTTCAGAAAGGCTTTAGCCTTAATATTTTTTTTTTATTCTAACCATTTTTCATTGAAGTACTCTGAAATATTTTATCTACCTTTATTTTCTTTACTTTTTTAAAAGAATAACTTTAGTATACATGTGACCCACTAAATGTGAAGCATGTTGAGTATATGAGAATATTCCCATGAAAAATTCCCAGAATTTGCTTTTAAACACTTTGGGTGTGTAGAGGAAATAGTCCAATGAAATTGTTACATGTCTGATTATAATATTCAAATTATTCACATGTACATTTGATATAACAAATATAAAATAGCACCTTAACTTTAGAAATACCATTTTTATCACTTTCACATTTTATGAAATGATTTTATCCAAACTCTTAATCAAGTTTTGAGTGTAAATTCCTTTAAACTGTGTGATTTAATGGCTTTTGGTATATTCAGAGTTGTGCAGCCATCACCATAATCAGTGTTAGAACATTTGTATTGTCACGCTTTTGCACCCTTGACTCTATAGTGTCATCCTTAGAGCCATTTTTTTTTTTTTTTTTTTGGTACCGGGGATCAAACTCTGGTCCTTGTGCTTGCACAGCAGGTGGCGAAACCACTGAGCTAAATCCCTGGCCCCAAGACATTTTTTGAAATAATGTCTCAGAGCAAAATCTTCCAAGTTTTTTGTTTTAATGCTATCCCTCAAAATTTTACTTCAAGCCATAAGAATGCATGTGCTGTTGATGATCAGGGTCACAGTTTTGCTTTTATTCTTTCCTCTTGACATTTGTTTCCTCCTTTGACAGTCTTTTATGTCAGGTATTCTATGTATTCTATGTAGGATCCAAATCTTGTATTGATTTTTGGTAGTTTCAAGTAATGTTTTTCTCCCTAAAACAACTTTTTGTTTTAAAATACAATAGTTGAGAGAAGACCTTATAAGATGAGAGTCTTTTAAGACTCAGATACGTGTTTTCTATGTTTTTTTGGCATATTAGTCTGATTAGTAATTTGTATATATGATAACTAACTTTATAATGACTTTGAGGATAAATAAATCTGATACTGGCAAAATAAAAGGGGATGGAGAGAAGTGAGAAAAAGAATTGAGATGTGTTTTGTACACATACCAGTTCCCCACAATGAATGTAATCATTATGTATTGCAAACATGGAGTTAAAAAAAAAGACTTGAATAGAAAATGATTACTTTTTTTCTTAAATAAACCAAAGCCAACCAAACCAAATATTGCTTTATATTCATTGAAGTATTTATGGCATGAGTAAAAATCCAGGTCATACAAATGTCATCCTGTTCACTTACGTTGCACAGCCTCAGTCATTTATGGAGTGTCTTTTCTCTTTGTTTTGTTTTGTTTTGTTTTGATTTTTCTCTTCCTTAAAAAATGGTATCTCTATTAGCTTTGAATTTTTTTTGCAAATGACAGATTATCAGTTGAATTGTATTAGTAGGCTTTTATTTATATTATTAGCTGGCTATTAAAAAATCTTGTAGGTAATCATCAGTCAACAGAATGTGTCAGTCACTAAGATCCTCTTTGGACATTAGTAAATCTCAAAGGACAAAAAGGCAAGGACTAAGAAGTACTTTATTTATATACAGGCCAGGTTAAAATGAATGAATTTTTTTTCCTATACCAGGCAAAAACATTGCAGATGATACTTTAATTATGATTCTGGAGTTGTACATTGTCAGTTTCTTTGTTCTCTGATCCCAGAGTGTATGTGGTTGTGCGTGTGTGTGGAACTAAGTTATAGAAGTCTTTCTCATTTCAGATGCTGCTGTAGTATCATCACTTTAGCCAAAGGAATATTTCAGCCTATTTATTTGGACAAATGTGTGGTCCAGTCTATAGATCACAAACTGTTCTTCACTATAAAGGTCCAGTAGTAAATATTTTCATCATTGTGGACCATGTGGTCTCTTACAATCAGCTCTACCCTTTTAGCACAAAAGCAGCCCAAGATAGTATGTAAATGAATGGGTGTATGGCAAAGAGAGCTATGTTTTTGGACACTGAAATTTGAATTTCATGATTTCTACATGTCACAAGTTATTATTTTAATTTTTTATATCATTTAAAGTTATAAAAATCATGGGTCATACAAAAACAGCTGGTGAACTGGATTTGCATGCAGACTACAGTTTGCTACATGTGGTCCAGAGAATAGAATTGAGGCTTTTCTGACTATACCAAATGCTGTCTTTTCTGAAGATACAGCATTTTAGATATGAAATAAAATTTGTTCTGTAGAATATCGTATGTAGATTTCTCAGAAAATATGAGAATGAAAACACTTTTTGTTGTAAAGGATTGATATATAAATGTAAAGTTTTTATGTTACCTTTTGTGAAAATTGGTTCATTGCATAGGATCTCCTTCCTGACTATATTCCTTGCTATGTGTGAATTCTGAGTTTTAATATTTGGATTTTTGGGAGCATCGAGCTATGTGAGAAGAAAGATTATATGCTTATGTCATTGTAATGTGTAAAGAGTTAAATGAGTTTCCATTTGACTTACAGTTAAATACCTGTACTAGCTTAACTGTATCTAAGTTAAGCTTTAATACTATGCCCATACTTTCAGTGACGTGGGGGAGTAGTATAAACATAAGTGCTGAAAATTTTAAGAATTTTATTGAAGTAAAATTTCATTACAGCAAATATTAAAAAGATACATTTTAAATAATAAAAAACAATTGTCTTGACTTAAAAACTTTCTTAAAGTTTTTATGGGTCTGATTAGAGCAACTTACGATGAAAACTAATGCCTTTTCTCTTTATGCAAATCTCATGTTTTTAGCACAAGAACCTAATTGTATTCTCTTTTAATATATGCCAGAGAAAATTGGCATTTGGTGGTAGGGCAGAGATTTTTTTTTTTAAGAACTCCTTTATTTACTCTTCTTGTAACCTTAACTACCAAAATTATTCTGATGCCTTTGTAATTTCTATGACCTCCTTCTCCAGCTTGCTTCTATACACAGTCCCAAATTAATCCATTGATAATAGGAAAATAAAATGGTTTAGGTGCAATAGTGGTGAATGGATGGCACACATGCTGCAGCGGCTGTTTGTATCATTGAAAGCTCTAAAAGGTTCGCCATCACTGGTTTAGGGAAATGGTGTTTGTTGGGGGGAGTGCCGTGTATGTTTGCCTTATGAGTTTATGGGATCAATTTCAAATTTTTAGTCTCCTCAAACCAGAACTCCACATTATTTGTTTGTTTTAGTGCTTTTAGATAATAAAGTTTCTATCAATTAACTTGTCTAAATAAAATGCTATTTTAATAAAATTTGGTTGAACATTAGGATTTTGTTATTAGATCTTATATTCTAGCAATATGTTCACAACCCAAATACACTGTTTTCTATCCCTTACATTGACTGTTAATAGTACTTTATTTTTATAGTGTTTAAAATTAGAAATATACAAAATAAGACGTGTAGAACAGCTACATTATGGCAAACAAATTTACACTAGAGACTTAGAAAAATATGTTAGAGATGTATTTTGAAGACTTCCTAAAAATCTTGTAAACAGTTGTTGTTGAATTTCAGCATTACTCATTTTTCATCATTAAATGGATTTTAATTTCCTTTTCTAGAAAGAGAATTCTGGGAATTATGTAACAAGTGTAATTTGATGAGACCAAAGCGTTCCCATCACTGCAGCCGCTGTGGCCACTGTGTAAGGAGAATGGATCATCACTGTCCATGGTAAGAAAAGAATAATTCACTTTTAGGAAAAAAAATAGAAAAAAATCTTAGGACTAGCAGGTTTAAACAAAAGTTATATTAAAATTACTCAGTTTAAAAAAACAGCTTTTAATAAGGATATCTTTCTTTGATTGTAGGTGTCTTGTCAATCCCCAAAGTCATTTTTCACAGGCATTTTGTTGTTGCTAGCAAGGAAATGTTTGAGCAGAAAACTAATAATTAATATGAACTGAATTATACAAAAAGCCTAAGGTGGATGAATTAAATGAGGCGATATGTATGAAACACTTGGTACAGTATCTGACATGCAGGAAGTACTTAAGTAGTTGCTGTTACTTCTTGTTGTAATAAGCCCTATGCGTCCCATTGTTTATATTCCCCCTTTCTTGTTCAATTAAAGAACAACACATTGCAAATACCCTGATAACCCACTTCTACTGTTTAAACCTTTTAAAGTATTATGTATTGGATATAGGCATTAACATTTTGTGCATGTTGTATGTGTGTTAAGTGTAATTAGCTATTTCTGTTGCACTGCCAACATTTTTGGTCAATAGAGGGCTCTCTTGTAATATTTAAAGAAAATCCTCAGTTGAAAAATAGAATATTTGAAGACAAATGCTGTGAGAATTTTGTATTGTATTTCATTTCAGAGCCATCACAAAACAAGATATTATATTCATTCTGTTTTTCTAGCATTGGATTTATATGAATATTTAAAATGTGTAGTATAGCACTTTATAAATATAGCTGTATACATATATTTATGTTTTTACATGTAGGCATGAATAGATAAAGTTTGCTGCATAATAGTTTAATTTAGAACTGCATTTATTTAAGTTAACTGAAGAGTAGAATTTACCCTTGCCTAATGCTATTCAATTTAGTGTTTCTCATGTTTCCATGACTTATTTTGATGACATTGCTAATTAACAAACTTACAGTAGAACTTAGGTTCTTAGTATACACTAATTATTATAATAGAAGGTAATTTCCTTCTATTAGGATTAAATTAAGTTAGAAAAAATAAGAATAATTTAGAGAAAAAACACTTCGTTAGTGTATTAAAAATTTTAATAATTGTCTAAATCGGTCAACAAGATAGTACATGACATACAGTATTCAAAAGATGTACCTTAAATTAAAACAGATTAATTCCCAAGTAACTATAAATCTCCATGATGTTTGCAATCACAATAATAATAGAATTTTCAAATCTTTATGTGAAATATGTTTTCAGATAGGTGGTAAGTACATTTACTTTTAAACACTTTTTGTAGTAGTATTTCTGATTAAAAATATGGTAAATGTTCATGGTACAGTTGGATATTGGTGCTGTTTTGCAAAAGAATGCCATAGTTTAAAGGTGTAAAAAAATCAGCTAAGAAATGTAGAGACTAATGATACTTACTTTTAAGAAATAAAGGGGCCAGGGATTTAGCTCAGTGGGTGCCGCTGGCTGCCTCATAAGTGCAAGATCCAAAGTTCGGTCCCCGGTACCCGAAAAAAGAAAAAAAATAAAGGAAGTAAAGACTAGCTTGTTGCTGACCAAATAAAGATGCTCTGCCACCTAAATTCTAACACTGGGGTGATTTTTCTCTTTCTGGGCTTATCACTTCCATAGCCTTTGTGAACTTTTAGAATGCTAGTAACAGGAAGAGAGGAATTAAAAAAGACCAGAACATTGGAAACAAGGGTGAACATGGGTCTACGTATGTAGTGTGATTGAAAAATATGGTAAATGTTTTAAGTTTTAAAAAATTATTACAGCAAAAGACACATTATCATTAATACTCTACAAAATACTGTACTTTCCCTTGCCTCAAACACACTGATCCCATCATTCTTGCCACTTTCTGAAGCAGTTCTGGAGTCCTCTTTTGTGAGCATCTTTAGTTATCCTGGCTTGGCTGCCTCCGTGTCCTGAATTCATTCAAAACATTCACGTTTCATGGTCATTTGGGGAAGAGCTAGAAGTCACGTGGTGCCAGATCTGGTGACTGCGTGGATGAGGACATAAATCACAATGTTTTTGACAGAAATTGTCATAAACATTTTGAATTTATTTAGGGTATTGAGGCAGCTATGAAGGGACAACTAAAGACGCTCACAAAAGAAGACTTCCAGAACTGCTTCAGAAAGTGGCAAGAATGGTGGAATCAGTGTGTTCAAAGTGAGGGAGAGTCTCCTGAGGGAGATTAATGGCAATGTGTTTTTTAGTGTAAGAAATTCTTTAAAAATTTTTATGTAAACATCCACCATATTTTTTTATTACACCTGGTAGAATTAGGAATTTTCTTGATTTAATTCCCTAATAGAGCACTGCTGAAATGTTCAGAGAGGGAAGGAAATGTGCAGTATAAACTGGAAGCAGGGATGAGTTTTGATATTTTCAGAAATTGCATTATTTTAACTGCCCAGCAGCTTTAGATTTGGAAGTCAGTTCTCAGATTGCCTCAAGGTTTTCTGTATTTTTAGCTTTGACCATATTTCTAAGGAGCTGAAATATTTAAAAAAAGGACTCATTTATTGAGTTCCTTAGTGTTTCTTAAAGCTCTCTGGTTAAGGAGTCTGTGATCACAACAGTTTTTCAAACTTCCTAGGCACAGGAAGGATGGGACAAGAATGTCATCTTCCAAGCAGCAGCTCTTTAAAGAGCATTTTTTAGGGCATTCTTAAGCTCACTTCACTTAACAGCCCTGCTTGCAGATAACAAAAATACTATTTTTTTTGTTTATAAATCACATGCACTTAATTCTAAGATATTCTTCCAGAAAGTTTTCATTGCAATTCTATATTTTCTTTTCTTTTTTAGGTTTTATTTATTTTCTTTCTTTTTTTGAGATAGGGTCTTGCTGTATAGTCCAGGCTGGTCTTGAACTCACTATGTAGCCCAGGCTGGCCTCGAAATCATGGCACTCTTCCTGCCTCAGCCTCCCAAGAGCTAGGATTACAGGTGTGCGCCACCACACTCAGCTATATTTGATTTTAAAATAGAGATTAGTGACACATCTTAAAAACAATAATTTAAGTTAGGATTAGAACATATTATACCGTTTTGTCCCCTAATGGGAATATAATACTATTTTAAATTGAAAACATTCATACTAGGTAATTTTGAAATAGAGTTTTCTGCTGGAATTTTAAACTAGATTTATCTGTTGGAATTTTATAATACATTGAAAACTTGAGTACAGTAAATTTAGAAGAGTAGAATACTCAGCTTAAATTACCCTTGATAATTCTAGGATTGTAGCAGTCTCTTTTTTAGTTAGACTTCACTGTTGTATTGGTAGAGGTGTAGCTGTGAGTGTTTGTAAGTAGTTTTGAATACATTTTGATTTTTAGCTACCAGGAGTAGGTTTTTTAAAAACATAAGAAAAACTGTGAATACTCATCAAGTATTTCAGAGTGGCCAAGGTTAAGCTGTTTTATTTTAAGACACTCAAGTTGTTCTTCACAGCTAGAATGCTGTGCAGGACAAGGGTTCTTTCTTCTTCCTGCCTTGGCCCCTTTCTCCTCTGGCTGTATGTCCTCTGGCTGGTGGCTTAGACCTTTGTTTCTGTTTCCATACCAGTGACACAGCAGACTTCCTACCATCTGCTTTGCCTCGGTGGGTTGTTGTGAATGGAAGGAGGGTTGTATATATGTGGACTTCCTTCATAGGGTGGAAAGTGCTTTACTAACGTTGGATGGTGTATTTATCTTTACACAGTTGGCTTTTAGGTCAGTGGCTTTAGTATAGCTCCATGAAATTAAGTTTATGTGAAGTTATGTGAGCTTATCTTTAGTTTTACTGATCGTGAAGTGAGCATCTTATTAAAGTTTAAAATGTTGTTTCTTTCCTTTTTCTTTTTTTCCCCTTCAGGATTAACAATTGTGTTGGTGAAGATAATCATTGGCTTTTTCTGCAGTTGTGTTTCTACACTGAACTTCTTACTTGCTACGCACTGATGTTTTCTTTCTGCCACTATTATTATTTTCTTCCACTAAAAAAGCATAATTTGGTAAGAAATGTCTGTATGCACTCATGTTAGATCAGCTGTAGCATGTGATTAACATTGTGGTTCCTTTAACTGCAGAAGATTGAAAACAAAAGCAAAAATAACCCCAAATTGATGAATTTTTAAGTATGTTGGAATTGAGAAAGTACACCATAGTGTGACATTTCCTTTAAAAGAAATCCTGATATTAGTATTTGTGTTTAGTGGCTTTCTTTAGAAAACAGCATAGAAGATCTTTACCTATATGTGTCTTGCTTTAAAAAATGCTTGAAATAATGGAAAACAAAGGAAAAAGTTGAATTTATTATTTTTCAGGAATAAAAACAGCCAGGTTAATTTTTTAAAGGTTGTCAAAGGAACAGTTAAGTTTTGGAGGAAAAGGACTCCTTCCACCCCTGTCTTTCATGAACAATAATAAAATGGTGTTTTACAGAGTTATATTTATGCCATCTGTGGCCATGCTTTCTTTTTCTGTGGAGGAAGTGTAGTAGGTGTTAAGACTTGCCCAGAATGGAGAGTGCAGAGGTGGTGATGATAGCAGCAAATGGAATTTTGGATTCATTGACTGTGTGTCAACACTGTGTTGTGGACATCTCTTCTTAATTCTTTTTTGAATGTTCAGAACACCCACAGGCAGAAACACAGACTAATAGAGGTTAAAAAAGTATAGAAGGCACAAAGGTCGGAAGTGACTATTAGTTTTAGAGCTATGTTTGAGCCTGATCTTGTATGTTTTTTGATTGTTATTTCCATTTTATTTGGACTTGAATTGGGGTTTTTAAGATACAGTGTGTGTGTGACTGAGAGGAAGACGAGAGCAGAGCATGAAAGTATGTAAGTGAGGACACAAGGCGAGGTGGGGGATAAAACCTCCGATGGAGGAAGGATTTTTTTTCCGATGTGTATGTATAAATCTTTTTACATAAAAAATTTCCATGGTGAGATTCCAGTTGAATTAGGGAACAAGGGAGAGAGTGAGACAAAGTCTCAAGTTCTATGTGTTGGTGTGGTTTTAATGTACATGATCATTTCAAATAATATTTGAATATTTGCTATTGCTGTTTGGGTGTATATATTAATGGGTCCTTGTGATTATGCTGATTAAATACAGGTTGAGCAATTAAAATTAGATACTAATAACTGAAGAAAAATCAAAACAATTTTTAGTGTAAGTGCTTGACATTCACACTGAGAATATAGTGAGTGCATGCTCATACTATATAGTCTTAAGAGTGCTTCACTTACAGATGAATTTGAGGCAAATTGGTATTATAGTTAGAACATGTAAAAGAGTCTTTTGAGTAAAATTTCATATAATTAAACCTCATAAGAAAAGCATTAAAATATAATTTCTCAGTGGGATTAAGGTCATAATTTTTTTTAAAGTGAGAGAAAAGGAAATTCAGTGGTGTCAATGAAAAGCTAAAGATCTGTAAGATGAAATGCATTGTAGTATAGTGGAGAGATTGGCGAACTGCAGTCCTTGGATTACATTTAGCCTTCTACTTCCATGTTTTTATTAATAAAGTTTTACTGGAGAACAGCTACTTTGATGTGTTTGCATATTGTCTGTGACTGCTTTTGTGCTATAGCAGAGTTGAGTAGTTGTGGTAGACTGGCCAGAGATACCTCTGTCTCTTAAGTTTGACAACCTTCTTGCAGTGGGTTTTACCATTGTAAAAAGATACACCAATAGCAGAACCTGGCTTTTCTTACTATGTGCATAACCTTTGACAGATGTTTAACCTCTGTGATTGTAATTTCTCCTTCTGAGATATATGAATAATAATGAAATTAAATAATATATGTAAAGTACCTGGTATATCATAGGTATTCAATTTATGTTATATTTTAGTGAAAGTTGTCAAAAAAGAAGAGGTTTTTCTTTTGCCTATTAATTTTTATGAAATTTTACAGACTGTTTTGTACTATTACTGGGAGATTGATGACAGACCAAAAAAATTCCAGTAATCAAATAGAAATGTAATAAGATTAAGTGGAGGATTAAGACATTTGAAATTACAAACTGATTTTTGTATTGAAATAAAAATTAGAAACTGTAGAAAATCATGTCAAAGAAGAGCCAGGTTTTTGTTTGTTTGTTTTTTGCCAAATATTATAGGTATTTTTTCAATATACTTACCTATGTGTATATATGCATACTTATATATATATATATATATTTTTTTCAATATACTTACCTATGTGTATATATGCATACTTATATATATATATATATATATGTTTTTTACATCCAAACTGAATGTTACTAGCAGCATAGTAAATGTTTCTTAAGTGATTAAAAATATGAGGAAAAAAATATGTGAAAAATGAGTACAGGTTGGGTTTTGAAAACTACCAGGTTTTCCGTAGAGCAATTAATTGTCAAAGCAATATAGTTTTTGTTTTGTTTTGTTTGGTTTGGTACCAGGGATGGAACTCAGGACCTTGCCCTTGCAAGGCAGGCACAGTGTTGCTGAGCTAAATCCCCTGCCCAATATAGGTTATTTTTTATAGTCATTAGTACTGTATTACCAAATGAAAATCAGATAATTAGATCACATTGGTTGTAATAAAGGTATTTAGATAATAAGCAGAAAACTATAATCGTAGGCACCTGATAGGCTTATCATGTGTAGTGGTGCTGAACAAGTGCTGTTCTCTATGCCTAAGTCTTACAGTATCCTGGTTGAATTATGTGAGATGCTTTTGTAATTTATTATTAATGTTAGAGATAATATCAGAGTTCATGTAATGACCCTTTCAAGATCATTTTATTGATTGTTCCAAGATCATCACTGAGGAGTCAATTATTGTTTAAAAAATTTTAAAGTATTTATTTGGTACTGGGGTTGATCCCATGGCCTTCACACTGAGTGTGAATATCCCTTTTTATTATATTTAATTTGAGACAGGATCTTCTTAAGTTGGCCAGCCTGAGGTTTAACTTCTGTTGCTCCTGCCTCAGCCTCCCAGAGTGCTAGGATTACAGGCATGTACCACCATGCCCAGCTTTGGTTGTTTTTTTAAAATAATAATTTTATTTAAAAAGTGCTGTTTTTCTTCCTGAATCAGTATTTTTAACTATGGCTATTTTCTTGAATCAGTATCTTTTTATTTCCTTTTAAAATTTTATTTAATTTTGTTAAAAATTAATTTTATTGGTACATTTTGGTATATATAATGATCACCTGCATGATAGGGAATTTGTACCTGTACATGATACATCTTGATTCTTCTTTTTTCGCCAATCCCCTCCACTCCCTCAACTCCTCTTCCCCTCCTCATTTACAAAAGCTTTGTTTCCATGGATTTAATATTTTAAAATCTTGTTTATGATATATTCTTTTTTTTTTTTTTTTTTTTGGTACCAGGGATCGAACTCGGGTCCTTGCGCTTGCAAGGCAGGCTGCGGAACCACTGAGCTAAATCCCCAGCCCTATGATATATTCCTTGAATAAATTGATTCATATAAAGTGGAGCTTTATCATAGTATTGTCCAACAGAAGTTTTATTAGACAAATTTAAGTGCATACAAATAGAATGTTTATTATCAATGTTTCTAAATCCTAGGACCAGGATTATAACTATACTTGGAGAAAATATTTTATAATTTTTATAGTTCAAGATATTCCAGGATCTGAAGCGAAATGAATGTTAGTCACTTACTGTACATTGAAATGAATTTTTGTCATTTCGTTGATTAGATGTTGAAAGTTTGAAGCTCTAGAATTAGGCATATAGAAACAGATTTGTTATATCTTCTTGATAGATTGACTTGTATCATTACCAAATATACCTCTTGATCTGCAGTAATGATTCTTATCTGAACTGTTTTTATCAACTATCTTTGAGTTAGTGCTTTCTTGGTAGGTCTTTCTCTATCCTTTAACTATCAACCTTTCTTACATACTTCTTATAGACAGCAGATACTTCAATTTTAAGAAAACTAGTCTAATAAGCCTCTTTTTGGGGGGATAGTACTGGGGGTTGAACCCAGGGCGTTACACTGAGTTACATCCCCAGGTCTTGTTACTGGGCTTGAATGTACCTCTTACTGCAGCCTCTCAGAGTGCTGGGTTTACAGGTGTGCACCACCATGCCTGCGTCATTGTTTTTTAATGAAAATATTTAGTACATTTAAATAAAATATTGCAACTGGTATTGTTTCTGTCATTTTCCCATTTTCCATTTGGTTTATTTATCCTTTGTTCTCATTTTTCTCCTTTTCTTTCCTGTCATGGAATCTTCAGTTTTAAAAAATTCCCATATATCTCTTCTGATGAATTTTTTCTTTTACTCTTTTTTTTAAAAAATAGGTTTTTTCCAGAAATGAAACCATTCTTCCTTAATTGTTTTTTTGAAGTCTAACATAAGTTAGACTGTAACCATTGCTTATATACTGAATGCAGTGGCCATAGACCATCCTCTATCATTATCATTTTTGGTATATAATACATGCAGAATGAAACTGCATGACAAGACTATTGTTGTTGTTTATATGTTATAATGTGATATCACATTGGTGCTTTTCCTAGTCTTTTATTGAACATTTTAATCAGTTATTTTAATGTCTTTGTCTAGTAAGTTTAATTTTGAGATCTCCTTTTGTTGACTTATTTTCTCTTTAGTTTCTAGACGTTTGGTTCTGTGTTCTGACATGCCTCTTAAAGTTTTATTGGCTACTGTGCATTTTGTATGGCAAATTATAGACGATCTGGTTGATGTGTTCTAACTCTAGATATGATTTACTCTTACATTTATTTTTTGTATAGTATATGTCTTGGTTACTTTTCTAATTACTGAGACAAAATACCCAACACCCAAAGTTAAAGGAGGGCAAGTTTATTTTGGCTCACAGTTTGTAGAGGTTTCAGCTCATAGTTGGTTGGCTCCAAGGCAGGGTGACATGGCAGGGGAGAAACAGTTTATGGCAGGCAGAAGGCAGCAGACAGCAAAGTAGTGAGGTAGCAAGTGAGGACAGCACCCCTATTTCTGTCCCT